CAGACACCAGAGCTAACGTTAGCTACAATAGTCCTGGTACAGTCACGATGACGGGGTTCAGAGACAAAAAAAAAAACAACTTCTAGTTTGATATAATATAACAGTTGTGTTTGTACTAATCTGTGAAATAGAGCAAATAGGGATAAACAGATGACAATCTATTTAAGTGTTCTATTTCCACCTGTTTATTTATTATTGATTTTGTCCTGAACCAAAATTAATTTGAATTGAAAATTCTGCCTATCGTATTAAATAGTTAATGGTTTGAAACACATTACAGTGGCTGAAGTGGAGAATAATATCTTCTAAATGTTGAAATCCTTTACATGGATTTCCATTCTTTCCTTCTTTGTTTACTATGAAGTAATAGAAAGTATAGAAAAAATGTCAAACTCAACTCAAGAATTCTCAAGCACTGCTCATTTGACCTTGTATATAATCTGACTAATAATCCTCAAAATTCTGTGTCAGACGATGACTGAATTACTTTGAAGTGACGTTGAATTTCCCACAAATCTCCCTTCAAAACTTTAATTCGTACTTGCCGTTTGACATTATCTTTTTTTTTTCTCTCCCGTAGGTTGAATTTACATGTATTACAAACGTCTTATATTTGTTGCCTGAATATTTTGAACTTTTTGGCCTTGTTTCTGTTCTTGGGGTTTTTTTCTTAAATGAGTCACCAAGGCTATAAAAGGCCTCAATGCCACCTTTGCACACTTGACTATGTGCACGACAGGGGCCGGGAGAGGAGAGTTTGACAGAGGAGAGCGAGACGCTGAAGAACGAGGGGGAGAGTGAGCGTTGATGAAAGAGGAAGCTGTCAGCTCGGAGACAGGTCGGTACCTACACCAACGGCACTGCTACACACAGATTCTAAACCGGACTCACAAATCGGACGTTCACGTTTACTCTCTTCAAACTTCCACCGTCAAATTGAAAACAAAGCATTTTAATTTGTAAAATTAGTAAAATTATTTAGAATTTAGTTCAACAAAAGTTAAAATAAAATAAGATATAGATAAGATAAAGTTCTTCTTCTGAATACTTGCTGACAGCTGTATCTACTCTAAGTATTTCTATATATATTTCGCTGTTTAAAACTCATTTGTTCCTTTGTCTTTGAGGTTTAACTCCTGCTGTTGTGACACTGCCACCTTCTGGGATTATTAAAGTACAACTTTCTATCTATCTAGATGTAGAGACAACTGTCCTCCAGACCATGGGCCACATCTCAGCTACTCTGAAGTGGAGCTCGGCACAGTGCCAGGAGGGGTGCCTGTTTGAGGATGGTGACTGATTTCGCATATAAGAGGTGTGATCCAAAAACCTGTTTGTCGTGAGTATACCGTTACCCATGTGAGCATGCATTTATCACCTCCCCCCACCCCCCAAAAAATGAAAATCATCAGCAGTTGTAACGGCTGCAGGACGGTGAGTACTGAATGGATCAGACCGACGCCAAGTCCAGTCTCAGGTTGAGGTTAATGCTAATTGTGATAGGGGTTGTGTTCGACCAAACACCTAACATGTTAGCATTAGCTTCACTCTGAGAGCTCTCATGGACGGAAATCCACAAACTCCTGCTGCCAGGGACCCCACTGCTTTATGAAGACCATAAATCTGTAATGGACACTGTATTCCTCCTGAAACCTAATAAAAGCATTTTAAATGAAATGTCTTTTTTTTACATTTTGTTTTTTGACCATTTTGTGATCTCCTTGATGGTGTGTCATTTAAATGCCTTAAAAAAAAACAAGAACCAAACTTTGAAAAGCATTAAAAACTGATGGTGCCGTGAAATGATTCACCTGCAGCAGCTGCAGAACAAAACACGTTCAGTCCAAAAGGAAAACTTTTTTCCAATTACTGTGTTAATTAATACAGTTGCAGTACATGGCATCACCCTACATTGCAAAATAATAAATGTGAGTCTGATGTAGTGAAACAAGCAAAAAGAAATCCTACCAATCATTTAGTATTTAGCAAAATACTACTGATGCCGTCCGATTATTTTAATGGATTAAAATCAGCACAAAGGTTGAACCTCCAAGATTAAACTGCAACAGTCCAAAATGTCCACGCATCTAAAAGTACACCCTTGAACCTCCAAGATTAAACTGCAACAACGCTCTTAAAGAAAATGTCCACGCATCTAAAAGTACACTAGGAAAACACATGCAAAGATTTGTCTTCATATTGACAGAACACATTCCCAGCTCACGTACACTGAACTATTACAAGTATATGCCTAGTCCTAATCCTTACTCCAACTCATATCTGGCTCCAAATCTAATTCCAATACCAAACAAATTCATACACCTGAATATTCTACATGTCCCCAAAAGACAAAGTGTCCCACAATAATAGCACTTTTCTAAAACATTGTCCACATGAGTATAGCTACACCAACATCTTACACACACCTCAAATCCCTCACACGTTTTTCCACAAGTATAAACCAAAAAAATTCACTCCCCCCCTCTCTCCCTCTCTCTCTCTTTCTCTCTCACACACACACACACACACACACACACACACTGCACTGATCTGGATGGGCGGACCACTCAGTCAGCTGACGTCTAAACTGTCCTCACCCTCTCCAGTCTTCCAGTGCTGTTGGTATGATGTTGGGTGAGTCCCGTGAGTGGAGAAGCTGCAGGAGCCGAGAGACTGGGTCTCACTCAGGCATGCGTGCACCCACATGGCCCACTCCTGGAGGGGCCCGCGGGACACAGGCTTTGTCATTCTGAGCCTCCTCCTTCAGTTGCCTGTGATGGGGAGACGTTTGCGGTGCTGCGCTGCTGTGATGCTGCTGCTGGTCATGGCTCACCGCGGCCGCCCGGCCACTCTGGAGCCCATCCTGTGGAGCAGCTCCAGTTCACGGTAGGTCCTTCAGCTCTGTGCTTTGAGACGTTCAGTTGAAGATAACTAACCAGTTAACTAAATAACTCGACTAGTCCAGTGGTTGGCTACCGTCACTTTACTCCTGCTTTGAAAAAAGAATGTACAGTAAAGTCAAGTAGTCTCTGGAAACAAATACATTTTGTTCATGGTCCTGTAGTTCATGGTTGTATCTCCCCCTCCCCATCACCCCCCCCCCCTACTGGGTAAAGGCATGGTTTTAATCTTTGAGATTCAACTCCTCAAGAGATTTAAATCGCACTTTTGAACTGATTTCTAACCATAGGTTTATTCTCCTCTGCTCAGATTTTCTCCAGGTCAGGGTCTGGTCCTGTATCCTCAGATTGGAGACAAGATGGACATTGTGTGTCCCAGATCAGACGTGTCCTCAGGGGGTAAAGAGGAGTTCTACAGAGTTCACCTGGTGTCCCTCAGCCAGATGGAGCGCTGCATCATTGACAAGATAGACACGCCCCTGCTGAGCTGTGATAAGCCGCACCGCGACGTCAAGTTCACCTTCAAGTTCCAGGAGTTCAGCCCCAACCTTTGGGGTTTCGAGTTTTTCAAGGGGAAGGACTACTACGTCACCTGTAAGTCTGTAAGAGTCCAGACGTCATGACAACAGTGAACTACACCAGAACATTAGTCCAGGTTGTTTGACATATTTGCACCATAGGTGGCGCTGTGTTGTCGCAGATCACTTCAGTCCCTTTCCTATTTTTGTTTTTCGAGGGATTACAGAATCGCCCCGTCTGGCAGATTGCACCTGAGGTGGTACCCGGTCTGGCAGATTGCACCTGAGGTGGTACCTCCTGAAACACGTCAGGTGGTGCCACCTCCCTGTGGCCGAGGAACCTGCACCCTGCCCTGGTTGATCAGAACCTTGGCGGTTTCCTTCAAAACAACACAGCTTTGTTGGTGTAGCTATATTCAGGTGGACAGTGTTTTGGAAAAGTGCTTTTGTTGTGGGACACTTTGATTTTTGGGGACACCCTCCTTAAACTGTAGCACAACGCTATACGAACATCGTAAATCAGACAGAACAGATTGATTTGTTGTAAACCCGGCTGTCAGACGCCGCCCTCGTTGTTGCTTCACTCAGCCAAGTTTGTCAGTTTTCCTGAAAGTCAAAGAAATGTGTCCCGGTTGTTGGACTGCGGCGATTGAAGTGAGCAACTCAGCAGCAAGTGATGCATGAGATAAAGAGCAAGTCCGACAATCAAGACTCATCCACAGCGCCACACTCTGACAGGCCACTCTGATGACCAGGGCTTACACGCCCCAGATCACACAGGGCTTTTGGCTCTCATGGTCTGTTGATGCTAGGATGGTGTTACTGACCTAAATGCTGCTAACAAGTGTGTGTATGTGTTTGGCTGTACTTGTGAGGACATTTCTATGAATAGGTACCAGTGTCGCTGGGACACGTCGTCTTGTGGGGACACTTCGCAGGTCTCCATTGAGAGGGTGTTTATTTTGAGGTTCCAGATCTAGTTTGGAGTTTAGATTAGAACTAGAAATTGTTTCACTTTTACAGCAACAGCAACTTTGCAAAGAAGTCTAGACTGCCATCTACAGTTGATATTGTGAATATAGCCCCATATTGTACAATGCCATTGTACAAGAGACACAATATATATTGTACATATTGTACATATTGTACAATGCCATTGTACAAGAGTAAATGCCGATCTTTACCAGTGATGCCTTCCTCTCTTCCTCTGTATTCCAGCCACCTCTACAGGTTCTCTGCCGGGTCTGCACAACACTGACGGAGGAGTGTGTCGGAGCAAATCCATGAAGCTGGTGCTGAGAGTCGGCCAAAGTATTTACTCCGTTATTTCATCTGTGTGTGTGTGATCTTTCCAACAAATTAATGAAGCAGAGCAAAAAAACAGCAGCAGATTGGAAAACTAATGAGCCGCATTGAAACAACAGCCGCAACAAATATATATACGTACACACATACAGTATATACATATATACATATACATATATCATTGAACGTCTGCAGACAGTGCAGAAGCCTCTGTGTTCTAGTAAAAAATACTTTTTTCTTTGGTTTTCTTTTTACCAGAGTAACTGTCAAACTAAAATCTGTTCAAAAGGAAAGACACAAAGAATCACTAGACTTTGTGTTTATGCCAAAACGAATGTTGAAGAATGTTGAAAAAGTTTTGTTTTTATCTTTACTAACGTCACTGCTTCATTTCGCAGACTCTTCGGAGACAGCCTCAACACTGCAGGAGTCGCCCACCAGGTACCCACCCAGAAGAGGGAAGACCAAGGACAGGGACAGCAGTGTGAAGGGTCAGGAGTTAAAAGACCAAAGTGGTACAAAATATATAAATATTTGACCATTTTTGATGAATGTTTTAGTTTCTGGTCTGCTACACATCACACGTCATTTTTGGGGTTTCTTGGCTCTGAACTGCCCAACAGGCGAGTTCTGGTTGAACATCTGCAGGTGTTGTGGCTCCTTGGTGTGTCCAGTCTGTGGTACAGGAAGATGAGGGACATGAGGCTCTGGCTGATTGTACTGTAGAAAGAATGAGTTCCTCGATGGTGTGAGCCTGGGGTAGAGATATAAGACGGAAACGTCTCTGTACTGTACTGTACGTTGATGAAACAAAAATAATAGTAACATGAGGTTTTTATATGTGACTGATCCAACAATCAACTTACTAAAAATTCCACTTGAGGAACCAACTTACATGAAGATGATTTTTTACATCCATATTTCCATGGACTGATGTTGGAATTCTGGGTATTTTCTAATAGATGTTTTACTCTTCGGTCACGCATGTTCTCCAGCGAGTAGCCTTGACAAAAGGACTTTTTCATTCCACCACATGCTGTACTGATCAGCCTGCTCCAACTGAGTCACAAATTTCTCTGCTGATTCACTCTTTCATCTTCCTGTCTCCTGTCTTGTCCCACTGCCTGTCTCCTGTTTCCCTGTCGTGGACGTGGGCTCAGAGGCACCAAAGACAACCCCCAGCGGTGGCTCTGGAAGAAAACTCTGGTTCACGTGGATGTTCTCTGGCTGTGTGGTCGTGGTTTTCATCATGGTAACAGCTTTTGTCTGGCTGTGGAGGCACCGACGCCAACGCTGTGTCCCAGTGGGCCAGCACACTGCCTCCGTGTCTCTGAGCACTGTGCCAAAGCGGGACAGCATCAGCAGCGACAACGACGGCTCGGACCGCAGCGACCTGGTGTTTCCCCTGCAGCGCTCTGACAGCATGGTGTGTCATCACTACAAACGCGTGAGCGGCGATTATGCGGCACCTGTGTTCATAGTTCAGGAGGTCACGCCCACATCTACGCCCCCCAATTTGTACTACAGAGTATAATGTTGCAGAACACCAATCATGTAACTGGTATTCTGTCAGAGTGAGTACTTTGATCAACACACTCTACAGACTGCAGCTCTACTTTAGATACATATATACGTATGTATAAATACATATATATATATATATATATATATATATATACACTGCTGGTTATTGGACCACATATTAAAATTATTACTACCTATTAATAATAATTACTGCCTCTTATTAAAGAGGTAGAACATGAAAAACGGTGACACAATAAGGACAGTGTCTCATTGTCTCAACTTTTGGAATCACAATTAGAAACAGCTCAAAACCGTTAACTTTTGGAATCACAATTAGAAACAGCATTTTAAAAAAACTAAGACTGTCTAAATATAAAATGATAAAATCTGCAGCTGTAGATTAATCACGACAATTGTGAATTCAACCATTTTCATTAGGGCTCTTGTTAATTAACGTAATTAACAACAGCCCTAATGAAAATGTATAAACATGAGAACGGTTAAAAACAAATGTTGAGACAAAAGTTTCAAACTGACAACCGTGTCGACTAATCCCACACACTGAATAATCATTGATTAATCAGCAGCGTCAAACGTCACAGTAGTTTTGTTTTAGGGAAAGTTTGTAAATATATAAAGTATAATATAAAGAGGACTCCACTCGATCCCACAGACTAAAATCCTTAAACGTATTAACAGTGGATCCAGTGGTCAGACTGAAGACGGAGACATGCTAAAAGAAAATGTTAACTTTTATTCTAAGCCGATCGTTGACGGGGGTCCGTGAGGGTCTAGGTACCGGTGGTCGTGACGTTGTTTTTTAAGCTTCATCCAGACTAAAACAGCTTCTTAATGGCTACAAAAAAAACCTCCTTGTTGTTGTGGCTTCAAACCTCCATGTCAGTGTGGACCACAGCCACAGTCAGAGAGACTTCAACTCTACCTGCAAGTTGTGTTTCACTCACCATGGTCCACTGAAGCCCATTGATCCCTGTGTGAAGGCCTTCTTATGAATCGAGTTTAAAATGTGTTTTTATTATAAAGATTGAAATATGTCACATTTACATTAAAATGCAGGAAAAAAGTTCTGGCCACCTGTCGTTTGGTTCTTGGAACTCTTCTTGATTCTTGATTCTGTGTGTGTGTGTGTGTGTGTGTGTGTGCTCTCAGCTGGATTCCAACCCGGGACATTCATGTGAAAGACAAAGTCTCTCTGATCTACAGCAAACTCAGCACTCACATTCAACGTCAACATTTATTTACAAATTTACATTTCAGCCATGACGCTAAAGGAGATCATTGAACTACAGAACACATACATTCATTAGCCGTGATGTCGTGTTCATTCAGAAAAAAAATATTTTCATTAAAACATTTTTATGATTTTTCTCTGGGGACTTTGTCTGTGTGTGTGTGTGTGTGTGTGTGTGTGTGTGTGCCATGCTTGTTGTGAGATGTTTTTGTCTGCTCTGAGGCTTCACAGTTGAATGGACTACGGTCAGGCGAGATGAGTTCCGTTGACCCCCGGGGTCACTTGAAGACAATGGTGGAAAGACGAACAAAACAGACTGTGCTGTGGGAGGGGCTTAGATGTGGTAGGTCATCTTACAACAGCGACCACACCACAGGTACCGATGTCTTTAAATCACTGTTTCATTGATTTGTGCTAAACAGTTCTCAGTCTGCACTTCAAACCATACAGAAATTGAACGGTGAAAGAGAGCCCTCCTCTGGTAAACCTTCAAATCCTGATTTCGCATGAAGTTTAGAACATTATGGGGGAGAGGAGGGAGAGGGCGGGGGGGGGGGGGTGAGGGAAAGGCCCAGGCTTTTATCTACCCCCCTGAGACAATGTGCACTCTACTCTCTCTCTCTCTCTCTCTCTCTCCCTCTATCTCTGCACCCCCGCCCCCACCTCCGCATGTGTACACCCACCCACCCCACCCACTAAATGTTCTTGTGTGGAGGCAGTGGTCCTACTACTGGCTACTAATGTGGGGGGTGGGGGTCAGGCCTGGCCTGGTCAGGCATGGTCAGACTGAGTTTAAACTGAAACTTGGAAAAGTACACAAACCGATGACAAAAACAACAACCAGTGTACTGTAACTGATCATGTACTGGACAGGTACTAACACTGCAGTACCTGCAGTACCAATCGGTTCTTCCCTCTCTTTTGTCTCCAACTCAGGTCGTTGCATGAAGACGGTTGTTACTAAGCACAACAGGAACTCCAGTGATGGGGAAGTTGTGGTTGATATTTCTTCCTACAGTTGAAACTCCGATGTTCACCGTAGTATAGTGTGCAGATTTAGAGTTCCCTCTGCTGGCCACCTATTATACTGTATTCTGTTCCCAGGTTGGTGAAAAATCCCAGGTCTTTGTCGCAGACTCATGATGAAACTTTCAAACCTTGAAACCTCTCAAACCTAAATTGTTTAATTTAAACAATTAAAATAGTTTGCTAACACAGAGAAGGTTAGCATGTGTGCTAATGATTGATATAATGGGACAGATTGTGTTTGAGGTGGAGCTGCAGGGAGGGATGAAGGTGGGGGAGAGAGAGGAGGTTGAGGGACCCGGTGAAGGACGACATGAAGACCCTAAGAGGTTAACCCTAACCCTAACCCTAACCTCCCTCGCACCCCCCCCCCATATCTCTGCAACGAACAGGTGGAAAAAGCGTCCGAGTGAAACTTCACAGGAACAATGGAATAAATAGAAATGCAGTATTAGATGCTGTTCATTGTCCTATACAGTTTATGTAATGAATGTGAAATTTGGATTTCTCTAATCCACATCTAGCAGGTCCACTCTTCCTCTTTAATGAGCCAAAGTTGATCTGCAGACCCTACTTTGGGCAAACTGGATCAAATATACTCACTTTATTATTTCGTTAAAAAAAAGACTTGAAAACATTTAATAGAATTATGAACAAATTTTATTTTTTAAAATAAAGGTTAAATATACAACTTAATTCAAATTCAGAATTATTTTATATATTATATTATAATATTATTTATTTAAACCGACATGGAAATTTAAAGAGCATTTGAAATAAAGTAACATTTTAATATTTTTAATTTATGACTTTTGTAATTCAAATGTTTCCACTTATTCCACTTTAAGTCAGTTTAAAGTTTAATTATAATTCATTTTCTTTAGGTATTCATTTTCTTTTCTTTAGGTATTTGCTTTTGTAAAATATGTTTTGTTTTCAATTATTATTATTTATATTCATAACAATATATCATTTTCATGTGAAACAAAACGTGTTTTATTCTTTACACTTTACAATCAGTAAATTATAAATGTACTTTAAAGTTGTGGCGTTAACATCACAGATCATGTTACATTTATTTATTTTTTTGTTTATCGAAGAAAATAATAATAATTCCCATTTCTATCTTTAATTGCCTGGAAAATAATCTGAAACATAATAGAAAGTGACAAATATCGCTTTTAAAAAAGTATAGAAAAATAAAAGAAAGAAAAGTTGTCATGACTGAATAAAACATATGTAAGAGTGGAACGAGTGGCCCCCAGGCCTGATTTTGGACTCTTTTATTTTTAATTTGGGATGTAGTTCCATTATTTATTGTATGTTCATGGAAGTGCACTATATTTTACGTTTGTACTGTGCTAACTCTGATTACGTCTCATACCGTGTTTTATTTTAAGGATGTTTATAATGTTTATTCACGGAATTACTTTTACTTTCGACCGTTGATTTATTGTCGAATGAGCTGAACTGCTGCTGCTCAGTGTTGTCGAACTGCAGTGATGGCTGTCCGTCTCCTGCTCCTTCTTTCTGGGGAGGGAGAGCCTGAGTCCATGGGAGTCGTGGGTCGGAAGTAGCGTAGTTTATGTATGCTAATGTGGAGAGTTGGGGGTTGTAGCTAGATATTTACGTTCAGTGGGAGCCGCCCTTCATTCACCCACATGGTTCCCAACTGTTCTCATTCGCGCCACTTTCTCAACCCCGCAATATAAGTCACCGTAGCGGCTTGTAAATCCACTTACAGCCGCCCGGGATCTTGCTCCGTGTGGGGGGGTCTGTCCAACGGAGGAAAAGTTTCGGGATAGTTGTGAATTTATTCATTTCTTTATGTTCTTCGTCGCTCGGGGACTAGCGGCGGAGCCCGAGCAAGTGAGCGAAGATGGTGGATGTCGGCTGGTGAGTGTGTCTGTGCCGAGTGCATGTTTATCAGCCGAGAAGTAGCGTTTGTTTGCTCTCCTCCAAACTGTTGTTTTATTTCATCCGTGCGGTGCGTACGGTGTTTCTTAACCCGTACGTATGCCCCGCTGGGTTGTTTTGGATGAGGATGAAAAAATAGCAAAGGCGTTTAATCAAACGAGATGTTCGGCGATGAAAACAGTGTAACGTGAGGCGCATGGCAGCCCCCTCGGCTCCTCCATTGAGGGAATGAGGGAGATTTGAAAGAAGGCTCGTCCCGAGCGTCGTTTGCTGTGGCTCTACGAAGAGCAGATACTCAAACAGCCTCATTTGATCACAACTTAAAAATGTAATCTATTGACGAGGGATTTCTATTTAAAGTGAGTTTGGAAGTGTTTTAGTGGAATCGGACTCGGGTGCAGTGGTGTGGGTTAAAGTGCCCCAGAACAAAGCAGCAGCACATGGGGCAGTTGCAGGCCGCGCATTCAAGCTAAGCTAAACGAGCTAACCGAACAAACTAGAAACAACCGGTTCCAATGGGGAATCGTTACATTTATTTTTTTACACTGTGGGGCAGAAGCGTGTCGATGTGAGATAAGATAAATGTGATTATGATCTATCCAAAGGCGCACATGCACCGTCCGTGTATTTTCAAACGTGTGCTCGTTTGTTGTTGGCTAATCACTACTGTTAAACTTCCAACCACGATAGCCCAACAACTAAGCTTTCTACCCTTGTCTCCTATATAAACAACAGAGCATCCGATGCCCCCGTGGCACTACCACCAGTAGTTTTGTGTAAATTGTAGAAACGTCAACCAAGTTTCGCTGTGTTTTCACTAGCAGCGCTAGCGCAGAGCTACTGCGTGCTTTACGAGTCTCCGTTTGTACAAACGGCTACCGGTCTTTTTCAGCCCTGAAACACACGTAGGTCTACTCGCAAAATTCAAATACCCCACACATGGGTTTAACATGTTAAACAATGTTTCTACATATAGGTAAAATATTTAATGCTATGATCAGCGCACTTCTAGGCGCCATGTTAAATGTGGTGGGGGAGGGGTGAACAACATCAGAACCCGCACATGCGCATTAGGGACGCGGGTCCGACTAGCTGCCCATTCATATTTTCGCTCAACCTCGTGTTTGCTAAAACGCAGGGCCAATTCAACGTGTACATGGTTTATAAACTAAACGAGTACACAGGAAAATACACGCAGTAAAACTTCACTCGTCAGACATGCACTCAGGTTTTTTTCATTGCAAATAAATCATATAATGGTGGAAATCAAATGTATCTCTAATCCACCCTTGTCCTTCTGTGTTTTCAGATCCAGTGTGATGTTCTGGACTTGATCCTGTACAGTCCCAGTCTTGGTTCTGGACTCTGAAATCCGGTCTGTGTATTGTCAAAGTGCTTACAGTGCAGGTAGTACTATGCAATACCTACTGCAGTGGAGGCACTTACAGCAATACCCTGACACTGTGGTTCAAGTTTTCTGTTTTTTTTTGCAGCAGCAGATTAAACTTACTGACTTTAAAATTTTTTGTTTTTTTTGCAGCAGATTAAACTTACTGACTTTAAAAGTACTGTCTTTGTGCTAAGGTGCATCTAGTGCAGATAGTGAAATAGACTAGCACCTACTGCCCTAAGTGCTCCTTCTGGCATAAGGGGCTGTGATTTGCTCCACCAGACCCATTTCATGTTAAATCTCTAATTTGGCTCTAATATCTTGCAGTTCTCTGCTAGTTTTGCATAGTTGCACTACAAGAATAGATGAGTTGTGCAAATCTATGCAAAACTGATGGTGGCCTGCTTGCTCTCCACCAGTTAAGATGCTCGGTTTTGGGGGTGATGCATCTGATCCAACCCAATCTGGTTGTCCAACAACAGGAGCATTTGACAGTTCTCTTCTTCTGAACTTAGTTTCAGAAGTACTAAAGTGCTTATAGTGCAGGTAGTGTTTTTCCCCATCTACTGCAATGTAAGCACTTCAAGTACTTCTAACTACCCACCTCACTCACTCCTAGCTGGTTTCCTAGCCATGTCCTGGACCCTCGTTACCTGGTCAGTTTTGCTGGTTTGCTTTCAGCTTTAACTGATCGCTGTGCAAATCCATGCAAAACTGATCGCGTTGACGAACTGCGTTCGTTTCAGTGAGGCGGCGGATTCACTGCACGGTGAGTATGTAACCTTTGTTGTCGGCGCGTTGGATGACTCGAGTTGTTGCGATGTCCCTTCCTGTGCAGGTGGGGATAGGTAGCAATGCTGTGTAGCTGGAGGTATTGCACTTGTCCCGGCCTGTGTTGGAATGAGGAGATGGAGCAGATCGGATCAGGAGCCACTGTTAATTAATCCCTTTACTGTTTTAGCCATAGACTCATTAATTCTCTGATTTGTTGGCTGCATCCGGATGCCACGACATCACAGCGTTAATAAATCTGTCTGCAGTGATTTGCGTGTTTCTCTGTGTACTGTGTTGTATGTTGTATGCAGTGGTTGGTGTTGCTCATGTGCTGGAAAATACAAGACAATAAAGCTGTTTACTGGTTTGTCATTTACTGCTGTGTTTATGAGCACTGAAGTCTAGTCAAGTGATGGAATTATTGTCTTTACGCCTGTTGCTTGATGGATTTTAGAACAAAATGTCCTCGACGGATTTTCTTTGGTGAATAAAACTTTTTTTAAAGTAGCTTTTGTGGGTTTTTTTTAATCTATGTACATTTACTAAACTTAATTTTTGAGGTCAGAGGAGAAGACTAAATGTCAACATGGTAACTTATTGCTCTACTTTCACACTGGTCAACCACAGGTGATATCTTTTACACAATGTGAACTTTGTAATCACAAGTTTCAGCCACATGTTTCTAATAAATATATTTATTGTTGAATTATATTTCATTATTGTGTAAGCAGTTTAGAAATTGTCACTTAGTTTCTGTTCTGAGTAAATACAATTCATGATAATGGACACTAAACAGGTTGGTGGAAAAAAAGTCCAAAACAAGACACAATAGAACATTTATAACTAGGTAAAATAATTTGAAATGATGTCAAACAGCACCATTTGGTCAACATTTCTTTCACATAGTTTTAACTATAATCTGGTATTGTTGCATTATTTAGAGAAAAGGTCAGGCACACTAACTTTTATTTTCTAAAATCTTTCTATTTTTTACAACAAGCTCGTCAGTAAATACACTATTAAATCTTATCTGGGAATCAATTAAATAACTGGGATTCTCATATGTGCAGATTTTATTATAGGTGATAGATTTAAAATGCTATTAAAAATTTTAATTATAATTTAAAAGAACTAGAATGTTAGATACATGAATATGTGAAAAAGTGTTGATGTAAGTTAAAAAAAGAACCTTATGACACAATATCATGTAAAAAAATATGTATATTTTGAAGTGGACTTGTTCTATGTACTATTATAATTGAATAAAAGAAAAAACTCGAGAAAAATCAACCCCATTTAAATGTAATTTACAAGTTAGCCACAAGATGTCGCCGTTGAACTTCTTATCTGCAGCAGTGGGCAAGTTACCGCCTCCGCTTTGGATCCAACCAACTCCGACAACACGCGGTGGTGAAGCAGATGAACGGTGTAACTTCATCAGCCCCCGCTCCCGAGTGATGATGAACTCCAACACTCCACGGAGGACACCACCTCGAGGGACACACGTCACACGCAGAGTCCTGATGGACATCCCGAGATGAGGAAGTAACTTCACCTGAGACCTGGACCAGAAGGTTTTAAAACTTCGCGTCCGCACAAAACTTTAACCCGGACATTTAATTAAGAATGGCGACACCTGCGGTCTACTTTTTATTCCTCCTTTCGTGTTGTTGTGGAATTGGCAGCTGTAGTGAATGCGACGACATTCGAAAAGTTTTCCAACTCAGGCAAAGTGGACTAAATGAGTTGTTACCTTCAAGTCCGAGGCCAGGTAAGTCAATGGCGGGTTCACTGTTATCTTTAAAACGTGAAGCCGGTCTGTGACAGTCCTGATATATTTATTCCAAACATTTTAGTCATTTTTCACCCAGAAAATACAGCAAGAAACACGAAATAATTACAGTCTGATTTGTTGTCGTAGGCTCAGTACCTTAACTAGCTTAACTGTTATCCTTCTTTTTAACTTTACTCTGAATTCACTTATTTCTAACTTTAGACACAGAAATGTTTCTGTCAAATCTACGTTGTTGATCCATCATCTACAAAACAGTGTCATCAAAACTGGTCCTATTGCAGCGGTTCCCAAGCTAGGGGTTGGGTCATCTAGCAGGTTGCTAACGGTTATTGGCCTGTCAAATTAATTTCATACTCTGTCTCCCGCTGTGAGGTAATGACATTGATCTATAAATAATTTTCTATACTCATTTTAAATAAAGTTTAGTGGATTTTTGAAGTAATAGTCGTAACTTTATAGACTCACGAGTGTAAATGGTGCCCTCCAGTGACCGTGGTCATTACTTGACTTTCAGCTCCAGCAATATACAAAGAATCAAATATATATACAGTATATTTAGGAATTCTTCTTCTTCTTCTAATCTTTTGGCTTTGTCCCAATCAGCTACCCAGTGATTATTAAGACTAAAAAAAGTTCGACAACCTGGAAAAATCCATTCATACGTAAACCTACATATATCTGTCATCACTGCCACAGTCTACATCAAACACGGTCGTATGTTTTTAGAACCAAAACAAAAAAGTGTTAGAGACCCCCCTTGTCCCTGTGATAAATCTTCATCAGAATCTTATTTTGAAAAACACTGTTTTTTCACCTACTCTGACTTTTTTATTTTTGTTTTTTGACTGCAAGTCCCAATTTAACAGATTTTTTTACTTCATTGTCCGCAGACGAACTGAAGTACTGTCAAAGTACTGGTAGAGGAGGAGAGAAGTATTTGATTGAGTCTTTTATTGTGAAGGAGAAAAAGAAAAGAAACTGAAAAAAAAAATGCCAGGAATTCAAGAGAGAATGTTGTTTCCATGTTGACGCTGCATGACTGATAAGAGTTCTCAAACAGCATTTCATTTAGGGTCAAATCACAGTGGGCCACAGTGGGTGGCCGTGGACACGGTTCAGGAAATGTGTGTGGTGTGAAAAGGAAAGGCTTTAATGTTGCCCTGTAGTGATGTGATTGACTTTCTCCATGTGTGTTATCGCCTCCTCTGGTTCCCTGTAGGGAACTGCAGTATCTCTGAGAACAGCTTCTGCTGACGTTCATTCCTCTGTATGTGGGAGGGGGGGTGGTTATTGTTTACATTTGCGCTTGAGTAAAAATTCTAATCATTTAATTAAACTTGTGACTCTAATAATACCCTGCACTGATATAAAAAGACTGTTAATTAACAGCTTTGTTTGGCTTTAATTCTATATTATTTAGTTTAGACACAAAAAATGGCAAGAATTAGTCAGTCACTAACGACTGTAGTCCCCGTCCATAACATGATCTTTTCCCCCCGTTAGTAGCAGTAGAAAAACAAAACCTCCAGCTCAAGTTGGGATCGCCACAGTCAAGTGCGCTTGATGTCCAATAGTTAGTGTTGTTCCAAATTAATTTAAGATGTAGGCCAAACAAAGCAGATGAGAGGAGTGGCAGAGAAGAATGTTACGGTGGTGCAGGACTTGTACGAGTAGAGTGAGACGGCACCGAACGGTGATTGTAGTTTTATTCTTTTAGAGGTTTTTTTTTAAAACAACTTAGTCAACATAGTTGTTGTAATTTTTAGGAACTAAGTTAATGAATGTATTTTACACATTTCTTTCAATCATGAACTAAATCCTGCTTAAAAAAACACCCACTGTTGTTGGACTTGGTTTTAGCATGTTGTTTCTACCTGTTCAGGTACAGACCTTCAAATATGCAAACCAAGGAACCTGACCTGCTGCACCAAGAAGATTGAAGGAAAGTACCAGTTGGTAGTTCAGAGCGACATCCAGAACCTTCTCCAGACGTCCAGCACCAGCCTCAAGCTTCTGATTTCCAGCAACGTGGCTGCTTTTCAAGGTAAGAGCTGGTTGTTTGGGGTGAAACCTCATAAACGTCTGCAGAAACAAGGGCACCAATGTTGGTGTGGATAATTGTATACGTGCAGAGATGTGTTTGTGCGCCTGGGTAAACGTTTAGGAGTACGGGTGTGCGTGGGTGCTGTAAAAACAGGGCAGGAGTGTGTGTGTGTGTCTGTGTGTATACACCAAGGCTCCACTGAAGGGCGAACAGACTGGTATTTGTCCTCCTTTCTGATGTAGCACTTCACTCATATCACCGATCAGGTCGGCTGTTTCCTGCAGGCTACTCCGAGGTCACGTTCAGGATCTTATCTTTGTCGTGTATCTTCTCTGAAACATTGTTTTCTGCTGTCTGTGTCCCGAGAATGAAACGATTCTCTTCAGAGAGTTTATTTATCTGTACAAATGAGCTGCAATGCTGCCATCTAATGACTTTCACTTTAATACACAGCTGTTTATCCCCAAAACTATTTTTAGACCACAAATCATTTGGCTAAAACCCTGACATTGCGTTATTGGGTTTTATATTACAGGAGGAAAAACCAATAATGATTCTTACAGGTATTACATAATATGCTAACATCGGGCTGATGATATTGGTCCACCGATATTATTGGACATCCCTAATAGTGATAGTAATAGCACCACTTTTATATCACTGGCTTCTTTGCATATTGATTGAAACCCAACATAGAGAAAAATGGTGTCTTGGTACTTGGTGTTGGCAAGAACACAAATCACACATTTTTTCACTGGACCATCATCAACAGCTGACTCAGCAGCATCAGCTTAGGTCTGTCCCTGTTTTTGTCAACCCCTCCCCAGCCCCCCCCAACATGAGCTCAAACCCTGATGTGATGGTGGAACAGTGTGGGCGACAAACGCGGAGCCTTTCTGACTTGAGTGTACCGACTCAGACATGTCATTTTGCCAATTCCCTTTAATGATGTTTCTGAGCTTTAGGACGTGCTGTTATCCTCCTCCTCCTCCTCTTACACTCGGTGATTTTCGGGAGGGTCTAGAGTAATGAGTGGGTCCTTGTTGTGGTTCACAGTGATGGGGCCCTCTCTGTCATCAGGCCTTTAAACTTTTGTGCTGATGTTTAAAAAGAACGGTTCTTCTAACAGTTCTTTAAGTCATCTGTTTTGATCCCTAAGCCCATGTCTTTCTCTATAGGATGTAATTCTTTATGCTGCCACCTCCAGGCTGACACCGACGTATATTTCTGTCCTTCATTTAAACCTTCGGAGAAGACAGATGAAATGACTCCACTGGCTTTATATCATCAGCAAACATGTTGACAATCTGATTTGTTTTCTAAGCCCTTTAAGAAAAATCTTAATTTTTTTTACTAAAACAATCTGACTGTAAAGTGAGTGATCATTTTTTTAAAACATTCCAGCAGCTGATTTTCCCTGAGAGAAGCAGTCGCTGGTTTTTTCTTTTGCTCTGAAAATACTCCCAAACGCAGCAGCACTGACATGGTTTCCTCTGTGGAATGGCATCAGTGAGTACTCACTCCTGACTAAGCAAACACAGCTCCCTGTAAACATCATCTGTTACCAGTCAATAAACAGAAGCAGCTGCTTCCAGCAGCCAGTGGACGGACGTGGAGCTGCCGCTGGCAACAGACACAAGTGTCACAGACACAGTCTCTGTGATGGTGTCTGTTAACACATACTACAGCAACTGTCCCAAAACGGTTTTGTACTAAGTACCAGTCGGCCGGTATCAGCTGTTACTATGCACCGGTACTAACGCGCCACCATTGAAGGATCATTCAGTTTTCAAAATAAAACATCTTTCGGACTTTCTTCTGTTGGTATCAGAGTCTGAATGACCTTTGACCTTTTGTTTGGAAACATTGACAGATTATCTTTGAGTGAAAACAGTAAAGGGATATGACGGGATAGAGTAATACTGAAGTACATTTTTCATTGTGTCCCACTGTGGCCCCGAGCCAAATGACCCATGGACCGGCACTGGTCCCCGGACCAGAGGTTGGGGATGCAAGTACTATAGGACATAAATGATGCGGACTAGTTCTAAAAAAGTTTTATTTGATTGGTGGGTTTTTTTTCAGTCTGTATTCATCTTTTATAATCTGATACAAATATTTTTGCAATAGTTGTAATAACATGTAAGAGTAATGGTTTAATCTTTAGAACCTGATGCTGCTGTTGTTCCACGTCGGACGGTTCTACAGTTGAGCAGAGTTGAAAGAAGTGAGGAGTTTGTGTTTGAAGACGTTTGAAGATGTCTTGTCGTGGATCTCTGTCTCCTCATGATTGACAGTTTGTGCTGTGACTGAAGTCACTTCACAGAACAGACCATGTTTTTGGATGCATCACCACCACAGACAGTAAGACAGATGAACTCCAAAGGGACAGACTGATGACTTTAGTTAGGAAACTTCTCCATGATGACAGAGGAGAGAGAATTAGTGGAATGTTAATGGATGATAGTAAAAAAAAAAAAACCCAAACAGACACTGGGAAAATATTTTATATATGTGTTTTTTTGTACTGCTGGAGATACTGGTTGGACTGGAGTCTAAAAACACAGTGTTCACGTCTTAAAGTAATGTTTTTTAATTTTTTGTTATTAAGAATCACCATCACATTTAGATGTGTTTAAATATATGTGAACATTCATAAATACTTGGACTAATCATTTTGAAGTTAGGATTAAGATTAGGACTAGGGTAAGTGGATGAGGAGAAGTTATTTTGTCTACGTGAAGTGCTTACAAAAGACAAAACCTGTGTGTGTGTGTGAGTCCTGGCTTGGCTTTGTGATTTGAGGCTGGACAGTTGATCCCGGGATGGGGAGGGGGGGGGGGGCGGCAGAAGAATGCAGAGAAGAAGAATGAGCGACTGATGGATAGAACTTTTGGGCGGAGGCCAGTTTCTGTTGAAAGTCTTTGCACAGTGTTTGAAGTCGACGCCGTTCATTCAGACTCCATACGTTTTGTCTGTTGCCCTGTTATGCTAGTTAGCGTAGCACTTGTCTTATCTTGCTACATGATAATTCAGGGTTTCCCTTTAAAGACACAAACATGAAACACACAAAAAGAAGATTGATCATGTACTAGAGTGTTTACTCATACAAAGTACAGTAGTAGTTTTCACGTAGGTGCGATATTTATATTTTTGCTTCCTGATAATTAATTGATTTGCAAAACTGGATTTTTTGAAACAGTGTCTTGTTGGAAAAAAAAGGACAAGGCTGCAGCTCTGCGCCCCCTACTTTGGGAACCACTTCTTTAAATGACCTTTGTGGTGTTCTGGGTACAGTTTTACTGAGCGAAAGAACGATACAACTCTTTACTGAAGGAAGAATCTAATTGAAGCAAATTTTTTTTTTCATCTGCTTCACTGCAGTTGTTTACAGATAAATAACAACAAACTTATGAGGTGGAAGAAAAAGAGTCTCTGAGGATCAGGCTGTAGGTCGTCGCCATATGAATTCCTCAACACATCAACACACCAATTGCAGTGTCACACCCCACCGCCCCCCCCCTCCCAATTCCTTCCTCATCCTGTCCTCACTAACATGGCTGATGTAATTGGATAATTGAGCTGCTTATCAAGACTGACAAACCAGCATCTGTGTTACTGAGGGAAGTACCGTCCAATCAAATTCAAGCTAATGTTACATGACTCGCATAGCCTGGTCTAGATTCTGGTCTAAATCTGGTCTAAAAATCTAAACTCCATGGATCAAATCTGTGATTTCTACCTCACTTCCTGTCTCTAATCCCACTCCCACTCCCACTCTCAGTCTCAGTACTTCTGTTGGCTCTGTTACTTCATCCGATGTAAAGCCAAACACAGGAAGTCGCTCACAGCCTCACACAGAGCCGCCTTTGAAAACCTAATGAAAGCTTTATTATGATATTTCCATTTTCACTCTGGCTCTAAAAAGGTGTGAACGGACACGTAGCCCTTCATCTGAGGAGTGTGTGTGTGTGTGTGTGTGTGTGCGCGCTTTGACACTTTTGCTACTGAAAACAACCTGATCTGTGTTTCTACACATGCAGCAAATGTGGATATTTAACACACACACACACACACTTTGGTTTAATGTGTTTTGTGAGCCCTTCACATTTATTGACCCCCCCTCCCCTCCCCCTCATCTAAACTGCTTTAATGATATGTCTACTTACCCTGACACTAATCTCACCCTAATTCTAATCCTGATTTTAAAACTGAGTAGAGACCCAGAAAATGTCAGCGTCCTCACATTTCTTTTTTTCAAAAAAAAAAGTCCACAAAGTGTACCTAAACAAGATACCCACACACACACACATCTATTTGTATTTGATTTTTGTTCTTTTTTTAAAAAAATTCAAAAATAAACAGTTTTTGTTCCTTTTTAATTCATCGTTTCATCTTCCCTGATGAATCAAAAACTCAGCGGTGGTTCAGGGTTCGATGCCCGGTCCACTTCCACTCATCATCTACAACCTCCCACTCAGTAATATCCTGAAATGAGACGGCCTTCGTTTTTTATTTTTTATGCAGATGACACAGATTTGCCCTCCCACACAATCACCCCACCCTCCCTCACCCAAACGCTGTGAGGAATCAAATCTTGGATGAAGACAGATCAGTATCGTTATCGTTGACAATCGCACTCCCCCGCCCTACACCATGGGTGACCTCGGCATCATGCCCGACAGTAACCTCACCCTTGGAACACCATGTCACCCACCTCACCCAAACACCAGTCCTGGGGTTTGGAGTTTTGTCTGTAGCTGCCCCCTCCCCCTGGTAAACCCACTGACATCAGCCTGTGCACAGACACGGCCTCCTTTGACTCCCTTATCGTGACTCACCCTTTGATGTCTGGTGTTTGTGTCTCCATCAGTTTTATTTTTCATTGTAAACTGTTCTGTTCTCAACTGTGAGAAAAAAAAAAAGAAAGTGTTATTTATATTTAGGGATGTCCGATATAAACTATTTGCCGATATTGTCCAAACACTTAATTTCCGATTCCGATATCAACAGATGCCGACGTACAGATACCACTGTATGAGTGGCTGAGGGATATTTTCAGTGTATATTTTCTTCCACAGTTGTTTTTTCCAGACAGATGTTTTTGAACAGGACAGTTGTTTGACGTTCGCTCCGTGTCATGTTTTTCACTCTGGGTGAAAACCTGTCGTCACATGTCCCAGCTCACCCAAACACACCGCTGGTTTGTCTGTAGATCAGAGCAGACCGCCACTCGCTCACCCCGCTCCGACAAACACTTTGTACTTCACGTCTGAACTCAGATCCGATCAGACGGGGCCCGTTTGTTGGGGTTTGAATGATGGGTCCGACTCGATGCGAAGTGCGATTGGTTTTGGCTTTATCTTCTTCTCCGATCCAGGTTCTGTCTTCTCATGTCTGAGCAGCTGCTTTTGTCAGACACAGACCTCGGACCACAAACCTGAAGCTCAAACAAGTCTGTTTGTAGTTGTAACCAAAGCTGTTTGATTAAGCAATAAATACTTCTTTTTCAGAGATTTTGGACAGTTGTAACCTTTTCTTTCTGGAAGTGTTTCTAAAAACTCTCTTGGTTTGTTTTTAGAAAAATGACCTGCAGAGAACAAAAATCAGATTTCTTTTTTCCCACGGGGTTTATCTTCACGCTCCAGTCTGTGATTGTGGAACAGCCGGCATCAGACGAAGAACCCTGTCAGGTCTTGACGGAGCAGTTCACATTAAAGAAGAGATTACAGGAAACAGACCCACATGGACCAGCACTGACATTTGACTCCCACTGTTGTAACAGAGGTTGGGGCTGGGGCGGGGGGGGCGGGGGAGTTGGAGGAGAGAGATGATTATACTGTTCATCCACTGGTGCCCAGGACCAGAAGAGAAAAAAACAACAACAGCCACTTTAGACTTGTGGTTTTCCCAAATTGGACCTTTGTGAAAACAGCCACCGAGGCCAGGAATAGGACCCTGCTGGAGGGGAACACGGAGGAGGAGCCAATGCACAGCAACAATGCCACTCCATATATGTAGAAGGAAAAACAAACTTCACTTTTCTGTGGTTTTCCAAGACTGGACCACTCTTAGAGTGACACTGCTCTGTCTCCAAAAACTCAGCTCTGCAGCGACCGGACAGTGATTAGCAGGAGAACAAACTCCTCAGGTGACAGTGTTGTCGCCAACATCTGCTTTCTCCAAGTTTCATCACTGTGTCAGGTGTTGAACTGTGTGATCTTCAATCTGAACAATCAAACTTTAAGGATCTCCGACAGCTAGCTAATGTTAGCTACAACAGTCCTGGTACAGATGATTCCAGGTGAATTCATCAACCCAGGATTCAGGCTGTTCCTTTGGTGGATGAACTCCTTCTGTTGACACAGTAATGAGGAGTGACCTGTGTGTGTGACAAACACTGGTCCAAGTGTTCGCTGCGACGACAAAAGCTGAAGCTGCTTTTCATTACGACATGGTTTGGTGTGTTTAGCTGTGACTGTGTGTTTGTTGCTGTGGAAGGAGTGCTGACTCACTGACTGTGGCTGGATAATGGTCTCTGCTGGAGGGGGTCACATGTCAGTGCTACTCTGTTGTGGTTGGAGTCTCTGACAGTGAAGTAAGAGGTTTCAGCTGGCGGCGGCAGAGATCTGAGGACTGTAAACCTGCTGGCTACAGAGAAATCTAAAAAATACAGACACCATTCACACTAACATTCACACTAACATTCACAGCTGTGGTCAGTTCAGAGTGAACAGTAAACCTACTGCTGTGTGTTATCATTGGCCTGGAGAAAACCCACACACACTGGGAGCACCTGCAGATACACAGTTAGCATCAGGACTTGAACTGGTGACCCTCCTGCTGTAAGGCAGATCCAGTTACCACATCTTCAGTCAGCGTTATTCATTATAACGATGACCCCCACCTGGTGGAAATGGAACTTTATCTGAATTCTATAAAAGACATAAATGTGTTAAAGTGTCTTTCTGTCTCCTGCTGTTCCTGCAGAGACCTTTGAGGATCTGATGAGGCAGGCGGAGAACCACACCGACGCCGTCCTTCAGAGGTTCCACTACAGAATAGCCCACCAGGTGGCGGGCCCTCTGGGGGAGTTCTTCTCTGGTGTGGGTCTGTTCCTGCTGGGCTCTGAACTCAGCATGGACGAGTTGGTGCTGAGGTTCTTCGAAGAGCTCTTCCCGCTCGTCTACGATCACCTCCTAAACCCCGGTGCCGGAGAAACATCAGCGGGTTACACCGAGTGTGTGAGGTCATCGACCCGTGAGGTGGCAGCGTTTGGTCGCACACCAGCCGACCTGTCGGATCAGATCTCTCGCTCCGGAGCTTCTGGGAAGCTCCTTCTTCAGGCGCTGCACCTCGGCATCGAGGTCATCAACACCACAGACCACCTGCAGCTGAGCCGCGAGTGTAGACGAGCACTGCTCAAGATGAACTACTGCCCCCACTGCCAGGTAGAGGAAGTGTTTATTTGGTGTTGATTAAAAAATAACACTCACCGCCAGGATCACTAATTCAATTGTTGACTCATTCAAAGGGCTTAACAAGGTCCAACCCGTGCATGGGCTACTGCCTGAACGTGATGAGGGGCTGCCTGGCCAGCCTGGCTGAGATCGACGTCCACTGGAGGGAGTTTGTGCGCTCCCTGGAGGGCTTGTCGGCACGGATGCAGGAATCTCAAGATTTGGAGCAGGTGCTTCTTGGAGTTCACGGTCTGATTCACGATGCCGTTGGATACGCTCAGAAAAATGGGCCGCGTCTGTCAGCACAGGTGAGTAAAAACTGGTCCTCTCACCTGCGTCTGTGGAAGTCCTGGTCACACTGACGCTGGTACTTTCCCACCAGCTCAAAAAAGACAATCATTTATGTACTAGACATAAACTCTGTGATGTTCCTGAAGTGAACACAGCCAACAACAAAATGTAGAAATGTCATTTTCAGTCCATCATCCTGGTCCTGGATCCACAGATCCGGTTCTTCAGGCCCAGATATGAACCCAGATCAGGATTGTCGTCATCTATAACCGTGGGGCCGTTTAATATGACATTTTATTTCTAATTTTGTCTCTGTTTATGTTATTTGTTGCTCCACTCACGTAATTGCCACCTGAACTCCGCTCTCCGTGCTGCATCGATTTAAATGCAACAGCACCATCTAGCGGCCAGTTGGTTTGATTGCTGCATATGAAGATACACAGCACGGCATTAAAAAGGAGCGACCGTAAGCCTCCAGTAATATTTATATATATTTATATATGTATGTATATGTGTGTGATTTTATGTGGAAAAAACAAAGCAGACAAATTATTATATAAATGATTATTTTTCTGTTTTGCTTTTCTCGACCTGGCCACCACATTACCCCCAGAGGGGGTCTGTTTGAAATCCACTGGGTGACACTACCTGCCCATCTTTGCTCAGGAGCCTTAAATGAGAACCACCTGGTGTTTAGACCTCACCTGTCTGTCTTGTTGGTTATAAGGTGCACAAACTATGTGGCCCACCAATCAGGAAGCCCACACAGATGGTCAGCATCCAGCAGAGCAGCAGAACAGAATCCATCCTGGTCAAAGTTCCCGTGAGAACGTCTGAAGAGTCGCTCCACGTCAGGAGGAGGTATCCAAACGTAGAAAACCTCTCTTTATGATTTCAGCTTCACTGTAATCTGTTAGTCATCTGTGTGTCTGTGTGTGTGTGTGTGTCTGTGTGTGTGTGTCAGTCAGGACCTCTGATTAAGAATTTCTGACACACCTGCGTCACTATCGTACCTACTATGGTGGGCTGGCAGACCAGCTGTGTGTGAGTAACCTGGTCCTTGGTGATGGTCTCTCCTGCTGGAACGGAACAGATGTCGTCAAAAGGTTTGTCTGAAGTTCATCATGAAATGATTCCCAAATTTAAAAAAAAAGTCAGGACCTCTGATTAATCACAGGGCAGTTGCAGGATTAGTAGCAATGAATCAAAGATTAATTAATCAAGATGAACCGACGTTACTAAATATGTCAGAAAACACACACACACAAACACAAAAAGAAAGAGAAAAATGTATCCATGACAGATTTATTTTTAAAAAGAAAGAAAAACAAATGTATCCATGACAGATTTATTTTTATTTCCAGTACAGACGACAAATGGTACAATCAGATCATGGTTTGTTTACACCAGAGCTGTCTGGTTTAGCTTTAAACAGACCAGAGTTCATTTCCTTGTGGGCAGGTGTGAAGATAATGTCGTGATGAAATATTAATGAATGAATGAATGGTTTGTAAAGTACAGCAGTGTTTCCCAACCTTTTTCTGAGCCACAGCACATACAGTATATATCATCAGCACACCACCAGACAAAAGTCTCACAAAAAGTCTATGGAATGAAATATAATAATCTTCCAGTTTAAATGACCTCATCATTGACTAAGATCTCAGCCTGTTTAGTTGAAGACGACGCTGATATACTGGCAGGAATTGAAGAAAGACACACACAAAGATCTTCTTGATTATCTTTTTTTTTATTTTATTTTCATTGCCGTCTGCTGCCACCTAGCAGAAGAGGATTAAATTGTTGTGCCTGTCACGCATTGACGAGCAAAGAAAATTATATGCAATAAATAAATAATAGTTTTCAGACCAATTAAGTGACATTGGAAAATTTACCACGGCACAGAATCACTGAATTATAACATTAGAGAAAGATTGATAAATTAATATTGTCTACAAACCTGGAAACAAAGTGTTTTAAATTTTTAAAAAATGTGTTGATGTATCTTTATTCACAGGTCAGTTTGTTGTTGTGGTAAATTGATAATAACTCTAAAAATGGCCGACAGTGAGACTGAAGCTGCAGTTTAACCTGTTTGGAGTGTTTGTGACTGTTTGTACTCCATGTGACCTGAGACTGACACACACACACACACACACACACACACACACACACCTAGCAAACCAATGTAGAGATCATCCATCAGCTCCTGGAGCCCACAGCCGTAGATCTGGGATATGAATGGTTGTGAAGTGGAGCAGACAAACTGTCTCCTCTCACGGTATCAGTCAGCGTCCTTGTCTCCATTACATCACGACTCTACATCCTGCCCGCGCCCTCATCACTCGAGGCTGCGCTCATATATTCCCAGTTTCAGGCTGTTCCTCTTAACTGTCATCACCTGTCAACGCTCGGCAGCGGCAGCGCGGCCCATAATTCAGCTGTGGTGAGGCTGGAGTGGCCGTTTCAGGACGGACGCTTGTTGTGAAAGATGGCGGCCTTGTGGAGACAGTTGCGCGGATACCACACCGCGCAGGTGAGAACAGGGGAGGAAGAACTCTCACACTCGTCTCAGTATCGATTCAGACCTGTTGCTTTTCCCGTTTTGGTTTTTGTTTTTTGCGTGGTTGTTTACGTTTAGTTGAAATGTCACCTTCAGTCTTTGACCCTGAATTGACCCACGTGCACAGACCAAAACATGACGTCAGTGTGTGTGTGTGTGTGTGTGTGTGTGTGTCCATTTGAAAATTTTGTGCTGGCATTCTTAATAATTTAAGCGCTTTCCCATCAATCAAAGAGCGCCCCCCTGTGGGACCACTCTCCAGACCACCCAGGGCAGAAGCCCAGCCCTCCTGTCGCCATCTCACCCCACGGTTGTTTCGTCCATTATTTACCGTTCATCTGCCCCTGCCCCCGGCTCTGCTACAGAACGATGTCGTCTGTTTCACTGGAGTGAGGAAAAAAAGTCAAAAAAAATGTGACGCAAGCGCTCAGACTGAGGTCGCCTTGAGACAGGTGTTGTTACGGCCAAGCCGTGGGGCGCTTTCTGCCTCCAGTGTGGACGTAGCCTTAGTAACCGGTGATTTTCTAGAACATCGGAGGAATGTTTCCCTGTGGTGTTCATCACAGAATACATCGCTATGGCGACGAGACGATCAAGGCCGAGTTTTATCCAAGCATTAATGCTTCGAGCTTTTCTTCTTCTGTTGTTTCCCTAAACAATGGCCCAGATCCCTGTAGGTCAAGTGTCGGTCCTCTCGAAGCACAGACGTCAGTGTGAGTCTGTGGTTTTAAAACCTGAGGTTTTCTCATCTTTTTATTGTAATTAAACCATCACATAATATGAAAAAAAAAAAACCATGTGAAGAATAAAGAGCTCCAGTGTCTGCAGCTCCGGAGACCTTCCACTGATCTGCTGCCTTTGTGCTGAATTCCATTAGTGAAGGAGCAGAAAATGAGAGTCTGGAGTCACTACAAGCTGAGACAAAAGTAATAAATAACCTCGTGCCCATGGGCCAGAAGTGAACAGCCACCGCGAGGAGGGGGATAAAACACACCCCCGGATGGTAGCTGTGATTTACAGGAGCTTATTAAGGCCTGGCTGCCTCCAACGATTGGTTGGGTTTCTCTCTTTGTTTTTATGTGACTGAGTGTGTGTGTGAGTGTGTGAGTGAGTGTGTGTGCTTTGTGCCTTAATATTAGCTTTTGTGCGTGTGCTAGCGTGGGAGATTTCAGGGTATTTAAGTGGTTAGTGGAGCCACAGCTCTGCTCTAATTTAATAAAATGGAAAGGCCACAGTAAACACGACGTGATGGCTGCGCTTCTAAGGCACATTTGATGGTCGCACTCATCTGGAAGCCTGCTAAACAAAAAACAAAGATGTTCGGAGGGAACTCGAACTTCTTTCATCTCATTGTCTCAGTGAATGCGGCGTCCAGGAGACGTGGTCATCAGGCTGGAGTTAACTGTTGTTGTTGTTGTTGTTGTTGTTGTTGTTGTTCTTGTTGTTGTTTGAGGACACTTTAGTCTGAGCCGTCCCCTGAAACCTTCACAGATCCAACCATCCGTCCGTCCGTCCGGCCGCCTGTTTTTGTGTTCAGCTAATACTTCACATAGACATAGTACAGTTGTTAGCATCTTATCGTAGCGCGATCCTTAACTCTCCCTCCAACTCTAAGTCACCTCTAATCGTGTTCATTCGTCTCCTCCTGATTGAAGCTGTCAATGATCCGGACTCTGAGTCCGTCCAGTCTATCAACATTTTGACTTTGTTTTTTTTTAATATCCAATCACATGGTGGAGTTAACGCTGCAGCATCGACCAGCGCCGACGTGATGTTTTATTCATGGTCACCTCTGGTCCGGCCTGGCTTTCACTCACCTCCACCTGCAGTCTGACCAACAGCTGCCAACCTGCACCAGGTGTCGGCCCCATAACTGCTCTTTGGGTCAGAGGCTCCTCCCTGGGCGGCAGCTGTCTGTGACCTTTCCCATGTCTGTTGCTGCCAGGTTAATCCAGCAGAGGTTAATCACAGACTGGGAGGCGTAGAGGGCGCCCTTTCTCAGTGTGTGGCCAGTTATTGCAGTGATGTTTTGACCGTATTAACGGCGGTTCGTTCCACTTCCTCCTTCGACCTCTCTGTCATTGGTCACCTTCTGTCGTCGACCCAGTTTCACTCTGAGCCACTCCAGAGACCGGGGCTTAACGGAAACGACACAATCTAAGCTCCGCTAATGAGAATCCACTGAACGGGCATCAAGGGCTTCGTTTATCCCAGCATGCACAGGGAGCAGTTCTTCCTGATGTGTAAGTTGTTAAAGTCCAGTCAGTGACGTCACATCTGGAAACTTGAACAACCTGAATCCTGGAGACGCTCACGTGAGGCATCGGTTCGCTCTTTGTTAGGGACGTAACGATGTATCGGAAATCTGATAAAAATCGATACAAATCTGTAACAGCTCAAATGTCCATCACAGATTTTTTTTTTTCAGATTAGAAAAAAGAAACCTTACTTTTTTCTTTTTTTCAACTGGCTTTTAAAATTATTTTATTTAACTTTAGGGAATTTCAGGACCAACCCTAAAAGACTTTTTCCTGAGTCGTCAAACTTTTGATGCAAGAAAAGAAAGTTAACAGTATTTTTTTTTTTTAAAGTTTCCTGTTACATGTCCTGTCACTCAGTGTTTTTGTGGAGTCTCATATGAACATGACGTCACGTCACGTGACTCTCTTTGTTTCAGTGCACACAGTAATGCCGACTAATGGCGTTCGTGAAGCTGCTGACGGTGCTGCAGTGGAGTTCAATGAAACCACTGCAGAATCCAAACACCTGCTGGGCGCTCCCTCGGCCAGCAGGTGGAGCTCTTATCTTTAGGTTAAGGCCCCGCACACAGAGCCACCCACCTCCTCAGACACACGCATGCCAGATTGCTGACGCCCCCTGTCATCTCCCACCCCCCGCCCCCCCCCGCATCACTTTTGATGATCTATGCCTCAGAGTGGATGTTCTTACCCATGTTGCCCCTGACAGTGACAGACAGGAAGTGAAATTCAAATGATGGACGGTGGAACATCTCACCACCTCCTCCTGCGTCTATTCTCAGGGATAAAAACAGCCAATTTGAATGGTAGGTTTAGGGGAGAGCAGCGTCATGTCTGTCCTCTCCCTCACTCTGATGCTGCTCCTCCATCCCAGGTGAGGGGGGGGGGGGGGGGGCGGGGGGGGGGGGGTTAATTAATGCAGTGAAGAAGCTGCAGTATCTGTGAAAGGCCAGCAGAGTTTAATTCAAATATAGTTGAGTTGGGTTTCTTTTCTTATGTGGACAGGAAGTGAACGTTCCCTCAGGAAACCAGGGACAGGAAGACGACTTTGGTTTGGACTTGGACACTTTTAGGGAGTTGGTCGTTGATAATAATAATAATAATAAATGATAAGACATTCTAGTATTAGACGAATGGATTGAAGCTTTGAAGAAGACTGTGAGGGGGAGACGGAGCGAGTGAAAGACCTGGGTGAGACAGGGTGGGGGCGACAGAGGGGGNAAGGACTTCTCTGGATTGCGACAGCTGGCTACTGCAGATAACCACAAAACCACTGGAGCACTTG